TGGCTCTGTTGTCCGAGGACCTATATCAAGACTCCCTTCCGCCGTAATTAGAGTTCGCAGGCTGAGTCCCATGCAGTAGCGCCATATCCGTCTGTAAACAAATATGTTGTTGCAATCTACTAGTCCATCCAAATTTGGGAAGTAAACAATGCTGATCTTTTAGAGGAGATAAGCCAAATCTCCACTTTTTGTTGAAAAATTTTGGAAGAAAGGCAGGAAAGCGGAAAAATGATAGTAGGTACCACTTGGTTAATAAAAAGAAGTGCGGCTTGAAAGAAACCCGTTTTTTACTGTTTCCTAGTTGTTTCGCAACCGATAGCTTCATCGATGATAGGCTTGAACTTCTATCACCTCTACCTATCCACCAAAATTTCATATATGAGGGCACATCTTCTGCCAGTTATCTTGTATACAAATGCTTTTGGCTTGTATATCGAATATATAAAGGAGTCTCTCAGATAGTAAGAAGGTTAACTTTTATAAAAACCACCCTGTTGATTCACCTCACTACAGGTTACTACTTTCTAGTATCGAAAATAGACTTTTCTTTTCGTCAGAAAATTTAGTCCAAGTGATCATTAGAAAGAGTTGATCATTGGCTAAGTAGATTTAATTTTATTTCTCTAATCAGATCATTTTATTATATTCAATATGCTAATAAAAATTCTGGTATATTATATATAGAGTCTTGCAGCAGAGGTTTCAGTAGCCGATCCATATGGTTTTGGTGTTATCATATATGAAATATTAACTGGTTAAAGGAAGTTAAATTATTCCAACAGGGACGAGCCAAGTCACTTGGTAGATTCAATTTTATTCCTCTAATTGAATTATTTTTATTATATTTAATATACTAATAAAAATTCTGGTATATGTGAAGTCTTGCAACAGAGGTTTCAGTAGCCAATATATACAGCTTTGGAGTCATCATATCTGAAATTTCAACTAGTCAAAGTTGAATTATTCCAACAGAGATGTTATTTTAATATGTTAAATATAGGTTTATTTCAGCTAAGTCATCTAGTAGATTCAATTTTATTCCTCTAATCGAATCATTTTATTATATTCAATATGCTGATAAAAATTCTGGTATTTATGGAGTCTTGCAACAGAAGGTTCAATAGCCAATCTATACGGTTTTGGAGTTAGTATATATGAAAAATCAAATGATCAATATTGAATTATTTCAACAGAAACATCATTTTGATATGTTGAATTTAGGTTTATTCCAGCCAAGTAACTTAGTAGGTTTAATTTTATTTTAATCAGATCATTTTATTATTTTCAATATGCTGATAAAAATTCTGATATATATAGAGTCTTGCAACAGAGGATTTAGTAGCCGATCTATATAGTTTTGAAGTTAGCATATATGAAATATTAACTAGTCAAAGTTGAATTATTCCAACAGTGACATTATTTTAATATGTTGAATTTAGATTTATTCCAGCCAAGTAACTTAGTAGATTTAATTTTATTCCTCTAATCAGATTATTTTATTATATTTAATATGCTAATAAAAATTCTGATATATATGGAGTCTTGCAGCAGAGGTTTTAGCAATGATATATATAATTTTAGAGTTATTATGTCTAAAATATTAACTGGTCAAAGTTGAATTATTTCAACAAGAACATTATTTTGATATGTTGAATTTAGGTTTATTCCAGCTAAGTCACTTAGTAGGTTTAATTTTATTCCTCTAATCGAATTATTTTTATTATATTCAATATACTAATAAAAATTCTGGTATATATAGAGTCTTGCAACAGAGGTTTCAGTAGCCAATTTATAGAGTTTTGAAGTTATTATGTATGAAATATCAACTAGTCAAAGTTGAATTATTTCAACAAGTACATCATTTTAATATGTTGAATTTAGGTTTATTCTAGCTGAGTCACTTGGTAGGTTTAATTTTATTCCTCTAATTGAATTATTTTTATTATGTTTAATACGATAATAAAAATTCTAATATATATAGAGTCTTGCAACAGAGAGTTCAGTAGCCGATCTATACAGTTTTGAAGTTATCATGTATAAAATGTCAACTGGTCAAAGTTGAATTATTCCAACAAAGATATCATTTTGATATGTTGAATTTAGATTTATTCTAGCTGAGTAACTTAGTAGGTTTAATTTATTTCTCTAATCAAATTATTTTTATTATACTTAGAGGTCGTATCCGGTCAAAAAATAGGCATTCGAATATTCATTTGTTCAATTATTTTACTATTCGGGTATTCATTAGAAAATCCCAAATAAATATCCGAATATTCAATAAATATTCATTGAATATTTGTTTGCACGTGACAATACATATAGAGTATATAAATTCGAATATTCAATGAATATTCAATGAATATTCAATGAATTTTTTTTGTGGCTTAGGTCTTACATAGAATGAAAAACAACTCTTTATTCATAATGCAGTAATGTCATAAATAAGATCTCTTAGAATACCCCAAAAAGGTAGAGGTTTAAGCTTCTTTTAATAAATATATTAAATACTATACCCTTTTTATTATGGTTAGTCCGTATCCCTTCTATTATTATAATTGTATGTACTATATTTATGTGATCTGAATATATATTTAATGAGGCTTAACTCAGTTAGAGAAGTCAAGATATCAAGAAATAGCACCAAAATAATTATTCTTCTCCTTCGTAATTACTTAAATGCTTGTGAATATTAACATTATTTTATTAAATTGCATCAAAAATAGGGTTCGCCAACGATACTAGCACAAATTTCTTTTTAAAGCAAATATGTACTTGTAGACGACTCGACTCTATTTATTTAATTTTAAGTATAATTTATTTATTTATAATAAATATATAATTTGTTTAATATATAATTTAAAATATAATTCTAACTTGTATAATTCCATTCAAAAAATGTTCAATTTTAATCATCGGTTTATGGAAACTTGATGCACAAAAAAAATCTACTTAATAATTTGTAGAGACGCGTAATTATATAATTAATTATTCACCTCTTTTACTGTAAGATATTTGTTTTAGCATAAATTTCATCAAGTTCATTATTATTCCGTTTTAAAAACAACATTCGTTCGAATAACTTGGGCTTTAACATTGTTCTTCTAATAGTCATTGTATTACTTGCATCACTGAAAAGTCGCTCACTCGGAGTTGAGGTTGCGGATGTTGCAAGGTATTGCCTTGCAAGCTTGTTAAGAATAGGAAAAGAGACTTTTTGGGAATTCCACCATTTAAAAGGATCTGACTTATAATGGATTTCGGGTAAAGAAAAGTAATGGTCGAGTTCATTATCTGACTCTTCAGGTGCGTCTTGCATAAAAATTGTTTTAAAAAATGTTTTTTGATAAATCTGATGCTGCCCTTCTTGGTTGTCTTGATTTTCACGAGGGTCGACCGATTTATCAGATGGTGTCGAAGATTGATGAGAAGATTTAATATCATTATACTTATTGCGAAGAGCAGTCTCAGCTTGGCGCTTTTGAGTTGGTGCTGCAAATTTTAATTTTTTGCATCTTGGATCAAGAAGGCAAGCGAGGAGCGCATCACTATCAGATAAGTCCCAATAGTGTAAAAGTGCATTGTATAATGCATTTTTAATTTTTTGTTTTATATTTTTAGTATTAGTAGGTATATTTATTTTGATCTTTCTTTTTTTAGGGCCTCCTTCTTCCTCTTCTTCAGCGTCAATAAATCCAATATTATCATCAAATGCTAGGTCATCTGTTTCAAAATCTACTTCACTTAATTCTTCGTCAGAATAATTACTTAGATTTCTCATTAATGCAAAAATAGACGGGAGTATATAAGAAATTGTAATATATTTGGAACCACCAAGCTCCTCTGTAGTTTCATAGAAGGGTCCTAAAATACCAACAAGATCTCTCATTAAATCCCATTCATCTTCAGTTAATTGAATTTCTTTTAATCTTTTTGCATCTCTTCGGGCTTCTGGAATACCAGAGACAGTTAATGTTGTTATAACAATATCGATTGCATCCTTAATTAGTAGAAGACGTTCCCAAGCTAAAAAAGATGAATTCCAACGGGTGGGTACATCCATTTTTACACGAAGATAAGTGGAGGTTTTTTTAATTACCTATTATAAAAAGATAATTTAGTTATTTGTACAGAGAATTAATTAAAAAATTACATTACATCGTTATCTGAAATCTTTAATGTTTTTTGAGCTTCTTCTAGTCGTTCATTTTGCTTCGGTGCCATAAAGAAATTAATCAACCGTTTAGCTCTTACTACAAGTACTTCAGCAGGCATTAGGCCTTTCCCGACAACAAGTTGCAAAGTATGAGCTGCACATGGAATTCTTACAACGTCAATCATTCTGGTGATTGCTGCCTTCATGTTGCTTCCATTGTCACTTGTGATCGCGTGTACCTTTCCGATAAGACCCCAATTAGCAATTGTATTTTCTAATGTTTCTCGAATAACATCAGCAGTATGCGGATATCTGACATAAGTTAAGGAAAGTAATATTTCATGGATTTTAAATTCAGGGTCGATCCATGAACAGGTAACGCCAAGATACCCTTGTCTGTTGCGACCCGTCCACAGGTCTGTAGTAAGTGAACAAGTTATGACAGTATTTTGTAAATTTTTTAACATATTTTGGGCACACTGATTATACAATTTATGAATCGTTTGTTTGATGCTTTTTTCATTAGGTATATTAAACATTGGATCCAATTCCTTCACGAACTCACAAAAAAATTGGCTTGACACAAGACTAATGGGTTGGGCACTGCAGATAATAAATTTAATGAGACTCATAGTGAGTTTATCATTTTTTGATTTACTATGAGGGTATGTATTTTTTACAAAAAAGTCAATTTTTTTTTGCGTAGGCTATGTAAAATAACAAAATAAAAATAGATGTTAAAAATTTTTTATTCAAAATTAATTATTAGTTTAATTATTATCAGTATTGAAAACTTGAATGTGCAGATCCAATAAAATTGCTTGATTTTAGATATCAAGCAATTTGATTAAATTCGCTCATTCAAATTTTCAACACTGTTATTTATTACTTTGTCATTGTCATCGTCTTGTCCAGATAATCCAGGCCCGTTTTGCGTAATACCATGTGTATTTAAGAGATGAGATATTAAATTTGACGTCGAGCCACCTGAAACTTTCACTCGTGAATCACAGCTTTTACCCGAATCATTTAATACGTTACAAATGCCGTATGTAACTTCAACATTAATTTTTTGATTATCAAGATTTTGAACAGTTTCTATTATTTTTTTTTCAACAAAATACTTCCATACCCAGCTCCGTCTTTTTGAGCCACCCTTTCGACTTAATTTAGTTTTTTTGATGGTAGGTACATTAGGAGCATCATTATCACTTTTTGCACTCGTACTTCTAGTTTCTGATGCCGGGCTATTTGATCTTGTAATGGGGTCAGCAATTGATTCGTCAATTTGACGAGCTAAAAAAGAAGATTGCGAATTATCATCATCCATTGTATATCGCTAATGACGATTCTTGTTCTAATCAAGGGGCTTTACAAAATATCAAGGTAAAATGTGATAAAGTTTATATTTCAAAGTCAAGAACTGAATTTCGTTATTGACTTCAAATTCTTTGGTTTTTTATATGCTCTCAATCTCAAAACCTTTTGGTAATGCTGATAATTACTAATTCATTCCAATAACTTATGCATATACATATGTTCACGGGTTAAAATCGGTATATGCATGAATGGAAGATAAATATGGACGTCATGTTGTTTATGTGCATAATCAGCATGAATATTTTCCCTTGGGTTTTGTATTAAATCTATATAGATAAGTTATATTTAATTTTTATACACAGTATTCTTTATTTATGGTCTACATTATTTACTGATTTTTATTTTACTACTATCAAGTATCTTTTTTTTTTTCTTGGCTCCCCAAAGAATTCAATAATAACGATATATGCTGGGGTTTATAATTCTGAATCATGTAGCTCCCCCAATGTTGCCATAAAAAGTTCACCTGAGAAATTTTGATGCCGTTGATTATCTACATAATCAACGTCGTGGGAACAGCTAATTGTTTTTTTAACATTACATTGTTAAGTTCTTTATATTTATAATTGAATCTAATTTTTATATTCTATTTAAATATGAAATCGATTGTAGTTCTTAGTCAAAATGAGAGCTCTAATTTGAAACGATTATGGAATCAATTTTCACACCTACAGACATGAATAACGTTTACTGATAAATGTGGAATTGGTTAAAAAAAGTGAAAAGAATTGGATATCTTTTATCAAAAATCTGCAGATAAGAATAATTTTGACAATTATTATTGTTTTTATAACGCATTATCAGAAGTTTGCTAAGGCTGATACTGATAGGAAATTTATGGAATCGTTATCTATTCCAAATACAGGATTAATGCAATGGTAACTTAACGATCCGAAGATTAACTTCAAAGGTGCAATCTATCTTGTCTATGGTCAGGTAGGGTTATTATAGAAGAAATTTATGATCGGGTGAATTCTGATTGTTTTGAACTTTGTAATGACATATGTTTCAGAAAAAGTTTGTATCTTATTCGGCGCATGGTCAAAAAAAGTGGACTTTGAACAACTTTGTGATCTTGGTTACGTTATCAATATGATATTAGTATTGAGAAAGACAATCAGAAGGCTTTTGAATATTATATGAAAGCAACTGAATTAGGAAATCCGGTTGCAGCACAAGATGTTGGAAAAGGTCTCTGGTTGAAAATAAATATTCGAATATTTATTTGTTTTATATTAAAAAGCTACATTAAAATAAATAAATTAATAGAGAAAACTTCTAGCTAATAAGGATTCATCTTGTTGAGCTTATAATTATATAATATAGTACGATAATATGAGATAACATCACGTTGGTACAGTGATGATTTTTTTGATCAGAGAATGCCGCGAAGCGGCATTTTCTGAATAGTCAAAAAATTATCGCGTACCAGTGTGATGTATTTCAGAATTATCATGCTATATTGCAATATAAATATGGATGACGTATGCATCGTGTAAAATAACAAGTATGAATGACGAAATAAAAAGAAAGTGATTTATAACATAAATGGTGTAATACTCATGATATCAACAGTAATCGGATGCTCATTCTAGTTCTACTAGTGAACTTTGTTCATCAAGAAATTCATCTTTTAGTTTTTGAAATTGCTCCTCAACAATGACCGAAAAACACCTTTTCCACTTTTACCCCGCGCGGCCGTGCTATAATTAATAGTATTGCTAACCAATCAGTATATAATATTGAGCATGACATATGACGCCCAATCTTGCATTTAATTGGTTGATTAGATAGTATGTATTCATTGAATATTCAATGAATTAATTTAGTGAAAAATTTTTATATTCGAATATTCAATTTAGTGAAACAATTCTATATTCGGATATTCAAATATTCATTGAATATCCGGATATACTATTCATCGGATCTGACCTCTAATTATACTTAATATGCTAATAAAAATTCAGGTATATATAAAGTCTTGCAACAGAGGTTTCAGTAGCTGATAAATACAGTTTTGGAGTTATTATATATAAAATATCAACTGGTTAAAGTTGAATTATTCTAACAGAAACATCATTTTAATATGTTGAATTTAGATTTATTTCAGCCGAGTAACTTAATTTTATTCTTCTAATCGAATTATTTTTATTATGTTCAATATGCTAATAAAAATTCTGGTATATATGGAGTCTTGCAACAAAGGTTTTAGTAGCCAATATATATGTTTTTGAAGTCATTATGTCTGAAATATCAACTGGTCAAAGGAAGTTTAATTATTCCAACAGGGACTTTATTTTAATATGTTGAATTTAGGTTCGGCTTGATTATTTTAGCCAAGTTATTTATTTTTTAATCAGATTATTTTATTATGTTCAATATGTTTATTTTGGTTAAACTATTCTTTATTTATTTTAGCAGAGTTATTTTGATCACATCTGAGCTAATTTTTTTCTTGGACCTTCTTTTAATTATAAAATCTTGATTTTTCAAATTATAATTTTTTTACTAAAAATATTAAACAGTTTGAATTAATTTTGTGATTTAATTATTTTGATTCATAAACTTTATTTATTTTTTTATTTTTTTTAATTCTTTGACAGTCTTGTCAATACTCAAATACAAATTATATTACTATTAAACTAAAGCAAAGTTTAAAAATTCTAATAATATCTAATTAAAAATTGCAAGCCTGATATCATCTGGCTATATCATATGCACTCAGATGCGACTTGTCGCACCAACCCACATGTAGGTTGGAAGACCTTGTCAGCTCTATCAAGAACTAAACCAAAATGAGATTAGTCCGTTCTCAACTCATTCAATAACATCTATCTTGAATAACCTTATAACTTTTGCCTTTTTCACATTATTTATTGACTTAACTGCACTACTCGTCTTATCTTTACTCTTGTTTTCTCTTACTTTTGATATTACATTCTTAACAGTAATGGTACCCTCAACAGCAAGATTTTCTAGTTACTTCTCTTCATTGCTATATCTATACCAATCTCCTTTTCCTACTTAGCAACTGTATTATATCTAATTCACCAAATTTTATTAAGAAAGCTATTTTTTACAATTGCTATATAACTACCAAATATTAGATTTACAATCTTCTTAGGTAGCTCTAAGTCTAACAACTCTGCTATCGCATTGTTGAGTATGAGTCCTTTAATATAGTCTCTTCTTTGCTTGAACTTCTTCTTAGTTGTATTACTGCCAATTGCCAAACCAAGCATCTCAAAAAATATTGTCCATTTATATACACGATCTAACTTTTTTTATGTAAGTAAGCATGCAACCTCCTCTACAATACTCCAGTAATTGATATACCCTGTACACTCTACTAGATGGTCAGAATCATCTTTTGCACATCTACAATTTACGTATGTATTGTCTAAATATACTTCAGGTTTTCTTCTCTTCAACATAGCCAAAACTGGTAAGTTGTTATTTATACATTTAATTCAGAAGGCTATATTTCTGCTTGCTATACATAGTGCTCTGAAAATCTAGATTTAACAGATTTGGATCCAAACTATAGGATCAGATTGGGCTTAATAAAACCGGATTGATTCCCGGATTGAGTTATAAATACAGAAATAAATTTGTATAACTCTTTTAACTTATGTACGTATAGCCAAATTTGATGAATTTTTTGTTTAATTTGAATTCTATAAATCCATAATAAAAAGGTGCTTTTGTTCCAGAACATCAACTGATTATTTATATTTTCTCAGTTAAATTCTCTTGGTGGTTTGTCATTAACTAGGTTGTTTTAGTATTTTCGAACTTTCTATTACAGTCTGGTATGTTAAATTAGGTTCAAATTTCTTATCATAGTGGTTTACTCAGAATGCTAAACTATATTCAACTTGCACTTTTTTTTATTAGGTCCAATTTTTTATTCTGGTCAAGCCATTCCAATCGGGTCTTTTTTTCTATGGTCAATTTATGTGTTCCACTAGTTGGGCAACTTGGTGTGTTGAATTAGGTTCAACTTTGCTCATTCAAGTCATGTTTTTGCTAAATTATCAATATACTTGTAATAATCAGGTTCTATGAATATTTTTTATTGAGTTCAATTTTTTATTCTGGTCAAGCTATTCCAATTGGGTCTTTTTTTCTATAGCCGATTTACATGTTCCACTGGGTGGGCAACTTGGTATGTTGAATTAGGTTTGACTTTGCTTATTCAAGTTACATTTTTGCTGAATCATCAATATATTTATAATAATTGAGTTATGTGAATATTTTTTATTGGGTCCAATTCTTTATTTCGGTTAAGCTATTCTAATCAAGTCTTTTTTTCTATAGTCGATTTACATGTTCTACTGAGTGGGCAACTTGGTATATTGAATTAGGTTCAACTTTGCTTATTCTAGACGTATTTTTGCTAAATTATCAATATACTTATAATAATTGAGTTATGTGAATATTTTTTATTGGATCCAATTCTTTATTCTAGTTAGCTATTCCAATCAGGTTCTTTTTTTCTATGGTTGATTTATGTGTTCTACTAGGTGGGTAACTTGGTATGTTAAATTAGGTTTGACTTTGCTTATTCTAGTTAAATTTTTGCTGAATCATCAATATATTTATAATAATTGAGTTATGCGAATATTTTTTATTGGGACCAATTCTTTATTCCGGTCAAGCTATTCCAATCAAGTCTTTTTTTCTATAGTTGATTTACATGTTCCACTGGGTGGACAACTTGGTATATTGAATTAGGTTCGACTTTGCTCATTTAAATTATGTTTTTGCTGAATCATCAATATACTTGTAATAATCAAGTTGCATGAATATTTTTTATTGGGTCAATTCTTTATTCTGGTCAAGCTATTCTAATCAGGTCTTTTTTTCTATAATCGATTTACGTGTTCCACTGGGTGAGCAACTTGGTATACTAAATTAGGTTCGACTTTGTTCATTCAAGTCATGTTT